AGTGGGGATCACGGCAGAGGGAAAATGTGAATATAAGTCAAGAACTTAATTTCATTGTAAACCACACGCCATCCCTGTCCGCAAGGAACTCAGTCTCTAGCCAGGAAAATGACAACAACAACAAAAAGCAGAAAAACAGTGTGATAATTTTATTAAAAAAAAATTGCCCAAAGTGTTGGAGAAGCAGAGGAGAGAAAGTCTCTTCCTCTGATATTGGACAGTAAAACCAGCTCTTTTCTTTTTTCTTTTCTTTTTGATTTAGAAATAATTGCTACCCATACAGCCGACTCTTGATTATCCTAACAAAGAGGGCAAGAACGACGTGGGAAACCAGCGTGCCTTACTCAGTTCAGAAGAAAAGTGAAAAATACAACAGTTAGATGAATGAAATTCAAATCAACATTTATTGAGTGTCTGTGGCCTTCATTTATCTTGCTCATGCTCTGTAGGAGGGACTTGAACAGTGACGTGGCCGAAAAGTTGGCCCTGAGAAGTTGAGGGAATTAAAGGGGCAGGAGAGCTGGGATGCTGATGATGGAGCCTCAGAGAATCTCTGATGGCAGCTTGATGGCGACAGGCAGGCTCCGGTGAGCACTGACAGGAAACTGCCTAGAAAACTATTCAGGTTAACATCTGTCAACAAGGGGGTGGAAACAGTTTTTGTTCTAATGCAGCAAACAAACTAATTAAAATATATGTATGTGTAGATACATGTGTATGTGTGTGCTGAATGGAAATACTGCCACTTAAAAGGGAAGCGTCTGGAGGTCGGACTTCAAGTCTAGTCTCAAGTTGCCACTAGGAGCTGTGTGACTTTGGACGAGCCACTTTGCTTCTCTGGGTCTCTGCCTTCTCATTTGTAAGGTGAAGGGAATGGACTAGATTTCCGGCTCTAGGGGGAGGCTAGATACGTGTTGCAAGGGAAAAAGATTGTTCACCTGACTCTCCCTTCTCTTTAAGGTCCATTTTAGGTCTGGCTGAAAATTGCCACGCTTCTGGGCGGTTTTATGTCGTGCTTGCAAAGGTGTCCCAGCCCTGCCCCCAACTTCATCTTTGCAACTTCTACTCACCCCAACAAACCTGGACCTCCTGCTGCTTGTGGCAGCTGGTCACACTTTCTCAGGCTTTGTTCACAGCATCTGTGCCACCTCCCACACCCTCTACCCTTATTTAAAAATATGAGCAGCCTGGTCCTTCCTTTCCCTCAACATCACCCATGTGAAGCCTTCCCTGGATACCACAAAGTGCCTGTAGCATGCCTCTGGTCACATCCTTTCTTTTTTTTTTCTTCTTCTTCTTCTCCCCAAAGCCCCCCAGTACATAGTTGTATATTCTAGGTGTAGGTCCTTCTGGTTGTGCTGTGTGGGACGCCTGATGAGTGGTGCCATGTCTGCGCCCCCGGATCCGAACCAGCGAAACCCTGGACCGCCCAAGCAGAGCGCGAAAACTTAACCACTCTACCACGGGGCCAGCCCCTCACATCCCTTCCTATACCTTAGTTTTATATGCGTGTGCCTCATCTTACCAGGTGGTATATTACTTTGGAGCAGAGACTACCTCATATTCATTTTTGTATCTTTTGTATCACTTTTTTCACTTTCACGTCTCACAACAGGGATGCAGTGAGGGGGAAACGCAACGCAGAAATGATGAGAAACAGCTTTTAATTCAGACAGGCCTGCATTCAAATATCTGTGTGCCCTTGGGCGACTTACTTAACTTTGCTAAACCTTCTTGCTCTATGCTGTAAAGTGGGAATATTAATTCCTACTTTATTACAATTGTTATTACTAGAAAATATTTAAAAATGTGGAATAGTACTACAATTGTGAGCAGTAAATTCTTACTAAACAAATCAGTGGGCCAAGATACTGATCAAGTGTGACTGACTTCTAAAACCCAACTTACAGATATTTTTGCTAATTGGAAGCCTTTATTTTCCTAATTATAGGAGTAAAATATATTTTTCCCTCAACTGTTTCATAGCCAGGACTTGGGCACAAGTCTGCTGTATTGCTCAAAGCCTCTCCCCTGGGGGGCTGAGTTTGGCACAGGCTCTCCCTTCCTCTCTTCTGCCTAAGGAAGGGAAATATGCAGTGAAGTCCATGGCCAAGAAATGCAGATCCTGGGGCTGGAATAATTGGCAGCAATTATCTATACAGAGTGACTTAAAAGATTCCCTGTACTAGAAATTCTCAAAACTAATAATGTTTTGATGACTATAAATATATAATCTCAATAACTAAATCCTAGCAAGGGAAAAGTTCTCCAGTGAAAATCTTAGGCCCTCTCTTTTATATACATCAATTGAATTAAAATTAATAAAATATATTATTCAAACTAAATCCTAAGCCTCGGTTCTATTTTGGGCTTCAAAAGTGTCCCCTCTTTTTCTGATCACCCATAGACACACTTTCTTCTCCATTTAAACCCTTGTTTTCTTTTAATGCAGACCATGGCTAAGCTCATATTGGGTGACAATGGGGTACTTATCCAATATCCCACATCTACTCTTGATTTAAAACACACTCTTCAGCCAGGTGTACTAATTCTGTAGCATTTGTTTCTAATATTTCACACAATTTTTTTTTAACAAGCATCAAATATCTTCTCCACTCCTTTATGCTCTGAGTAGTTATACCATTAATATATCTGACGGTAGCAGTGACCTAGAGAGAGCAGAGTTTGGGTACCATGTATCTTAATGTGGATTAAAACCCATTCTTTCCCACAAACTGGTTTCCTTAAGATTAACTTCATTTTCTTCTGGGGCTGTACATGGAGCATTTCGTTCCAGAGCAACTCAGAAATTAACAGATTAATCACTCTGTGGGCTTTTAAATAATGCTGAATTCATCTCGGTGAAAGTCAACTCCTTATTCTGCAAAATATATTTGCTGAGCTCAGGAATTAACACCTGATTTAGTCAGACCATGTTTACATAACCTTCTCTTTGGTTCCAATGAAAAGATTGCCAAAATTGTCCAATACCTATGGGAATGGATTATAGGGAATAAAATGTAGTCTAAATTATCTGATAGAGCTTATAATGCAGGATTATTACTTCTTGCCCTCTTATCCTTCCAAATTCCATAAACATTAGCATATAATGAATACACACACATTGTAACTTAATAAAAAGCATTAAAAACCAAAACCAAAACCAAAAAACAAAGCCAAAAGCAATAATCAACTAAAGAGGAGCAATGATCAAGTTTCCTTTTACTATTTCAGAATCAATGGTCAATAAAAATCCTCAAGTTTCTTTCTTAATGTGTAATCTATTATCTAGCTTCAGTTTCACATAAATAATCAATGTCAAGTAATATTTGTGAAATATATGTGCCAAATTAAAAGAGAAAAATTTGTGTCAGAACACATAACTGACAGGGATATGCTAGTTCCAACATCCCTGGAGCTGCTCTGTGTGATAGATCTTGCCTGCATCTGTTTTAAATCATCAGATACAAATTAATTTTAAAATGTTATAATCTCTACTAAACACAGTGTTGCATCTATTCAATCTAACAAAAAACTAACAGAAACCAGGGCTGCTATTTCTCCTAAAATGGCTGGTTTTGAGGCCACTCAAGTTTTTCTAAAACAAGATGCTAAAGAAGAAATCCAGTAGTACAAGGGTTGGTGCAAACCTCATCATAGCCATCTTCTCTTTTACAAAGGGATCTCCTGACTTCTAAGCTTCATCTAACACTAAATCGTTCTGTTCACATGATTCTACAGCTAAAAGACACCATGTTTACATTCAGGAGGGATTCATAAATACCAATTTTTCATGAATGTGTAAACAGATGGGTTAATTACCATGGCAACCAAAAAACCGTATCAGATCAAATATTTTGCTGGCAAATGTCCTAGTGATTTTTCAAATACTTTCGTTTTACATGGCTGAGATAAACAGAATGAAGAGTATTCTACAGAATAAAACAAATGCTAATGCCTGTAAATGGTTTAATAGTGACCTCCTGCGAAGTTTTCACAGTTCTAAGATCCAGCAGCAAAAGATAATGAATCCCACAAAAACTGATCTAGGTGCTTCAGAAACAATGATACAACCAAAACCAGTGGGGAAAAGAAAACCTTCATGCAGCCACTGAAAGAACTGTCACTTCCCTAAAAGAAGAAGCCCACTAATCATTTGCTTAGAGAAAACAAGCCAGTGCAAGGGGTGAGAATGTGTAATAGGGGTAGGCCGCCATCTTGAGGGAAAGAGACTCAATATTCTGCGAGGTGTGTTTTATTTTCTAACTTTCAGGACCAGACTAACTTTATTTTGTTGTGTTTTAATATGATTAAAAATTTCTCCAAGAATTTCATTAATAGAATTGTGAATGGCAGTCAACATTCTTGGAAATAATTCTAACTATAGGTCCAGCCATATGGCTTTCGAAACAAAACAAGATCACTCCCAAACCCACTGACATGTACAGCACTCCACACAGCACAATCTTCAGGGAGTCAACAATTAACGCGGATTTCAGAGGCATCACTGAGGCAGGAACAGCAAGACTTAGAACATTTGCTTTTTACCAAAAATGAACATTTTAAAATGCCTGTGTGGATTGGCCAGCCAACTGAAATCTAAATTAAGAAATATTTAAAATTCCTTATCTCAGGAAAATGATTCTACACAAATTACATTGATTCCTAGACTACTAATTCCTCAAACCTCAACCTCAAGGTCAGCAGCACACCATTCTTTAGAGACAGACGTGGTGTGAGGTTGTCCAAAGTACTCCCTGCCCCGTGCAGTCTTGTAATGTTTTGTAATCTACTACTTTTAAGTGCTCTCAATATAATATGCATATGGAGTTAGCAGAGAAACCTTGTGACCAAATTACTCTTAGCCAAAATACAATGCTATTTTATGCAATCCCAAGAGACCTGGTTACAGAATCACATGGTGAATTGAAATATTATCCTAATTGGCAAGGAAGTTTCTCTATTTTAGAGGGCTTGTCCAGGGAACCCTACACACTTACCTCAGGAAGTGCTTCATTGTGCCTGTTTTGATTATCCAGATCTTATCCAAACCGTTCTCAAGTAATTGCTTCCAAATTTGCCTTTAGCAAAGTAAGCGTAAGCTGTGGGAAGAAATTAGATATATTTACTATTATGGGGGCTGGAAATCCCAAACCCAAAATTTCTGCTTATCTTAGTAAGCAGACAACACGCTATGCACACAGAACATTATCAACCGAACTGCCCACATAGCAACGCAATTCAATGGATGGAAATCATAGCTAAAGCCTTTCACTTATAATTATACAATTAGTCTTTCATTTTAAGTCGCTTGCTAGAAGAATTATTAGTTTCATGAGCAATCTCTTCAATAGTAAGCTTTTTCTCTATTTTGGGTATTATTTCTATAACCAGAAGAATAGTATTTGTAAAAAAATAAATAAAAATGAAGAATCATAAAATTAACTACCTGATTTCCAGATATCTGACGGTTTTAAATGTGGCAGCCTCAACCTTCCAGAAGTACAACTCAAAAATAACTAGGAGCAACTGGCAATGTCTTTAAGCTAAAAAATAGCTATTTAAGAGCCAATCAAATGAACAATATGCCCCGGCCCCATTTTTTTTTTTTTTGGCACTGTGAACTAAACAGTAAGATTTTATATTTGTCTAGCTCTTCTCAGTTTACAATTTACTTTCACAAAGTCTACAATATCAGGTTATTGGTTTTCTTCCTTCTGACAAGGAAGACACCAGAAGCTGCCTACAAAGCTGCAAGTTGGAATGAGTCAGGAAGAAATAGACTAGAGAAAATTCTCAAGATCATCAAAAACAAGGCAAGCCTGAGAAACTGCCAGTTAAGAAGTGCCGAAGGAGACATGACAACTAAGTAATGTGGTACCCTGGGGGGGATCCTGGGAGAGAAAAGGGACATTAGGTAACAACTAAGGAAATGTGAATAAGCATGGATTTTATTTAATAATTAGCTATCAATATTGGTCCATTAGTGTGACAAATAAATTAATGTAAGATGTTAACAATAAAGGAAACTGGGTGCTGTAAAGGGAACTCTCTGTGTTATCTTTGGGACTTTTCTGTAAATCTAAAACTATTCTAAAATTTAAAAATTATTACCATATGTTAGTGCTTATGCTCTAGACACAGACTTAGGCCTAGGGATACAGGGTGAACAAGAGAGGCATCAGTTCCACTCTCTAGATCCAACAGTCTTGAGGGAGGAAAGGAGAGAAGATGATACAGGAAAACAAACAGGTACTTAAACACAGTACCGTTGTTCCCCCTTATCTGAGGAGGCTAAGTTCCAAGACCCCCAGTGGATGCCTGAAACTACGGATTGTACCAAATCCTACATATACTATGCTTCTTCCTATGCATACATACCTGTGATAAAGTTTAATTTATAAATTAGGCACAGTAAGAGATTAACAACAATAACTAATAAGAAAATAGAACAATTATAACAATATACTGTAATAAAAGTTACTGTAGATGTTAACAACATCAGCTTACACATTTTGTTCTTTCCTTATTGAGAACTTCCACCTTTCCACTTAAAGGAAGTACTTTATGGCATCTCTTTGGCACATCTGAATTGCCAGCATCACTACCCTTGGGCTTTGGGGCCATTATTAAGTAAAATAAGGGTGAATTGAACACAAGCACTGTGATACCATGACAGTCAATCTGATAACCAAGATGGCTACTAAGTGAATAATGAGCGGGTAGCGTATACAGCATGAATATGCTGGACAAAGGGATGATTCTTGTCCCAGGCTGGAGGGGGTGGGACAGTGTGAGATTTCATCCTGCTACTCAGAACTGGCATGCAATTTAAAATTTATGAATTGTTTACTTCTGGAATTTTCCATTTAATATTTTCAGACTGTGGTTGACTGCAGGTAACTGGAAGTGTGGATAAGGAGGGGACTACTGTATTACAAACGAAAATGGGTGCTGTGACAATGAGATGCGAGATGCCTATCCTAGATGTAGGAGTCAGGGGGTTCCCCAAATAGCATATACAAAGTCCTAAATGCAAACACACAATGTGTGGAGGAGAAAATGTTCAATCTACTAGTGAGTTGCTCAGTGAGAGGGACAAGTTAAAGCAGGGACGGCTGGATATGGAAAGGCAAGAAACGGTCAGATCATCAAAAGCTTTGTAAGCAATATTACAGACGTTTGACTCTTATCCCATGAGCAATGAGAAACTATTGAAAGTTTTCAAACTGAGATGCAACATAATCAGATTTCTAGTTTTAAAAATATACTCTTGTGTATTGTAGTATGTATGTATGTGATTGTAGCATGGAGAATAAATTGGATTGTGGTGAAATTATAGGTAGAGACACCTTTAGAAGGTTGTTACAATAATCCAGGCAAAGATAATAATGGCAGGATAAGGCAATGGACAGAGACAGAAGTGGATGGATTTGAGAGATATTTAGAGGGTAGAATCAATTGAATTTTTGTTAATTGAGTGGAAGTTAGAGAAGGAGAAGGAGGAGTCAAACATTATGCCCACGTTTGTGGCTGGCAACAGGGTAGACAGTGGAATCTTTACTAAGACACAGAATTGTGGAGATGCAGGTTCGGTGTCTGGGTGTATTTGGGGATGTCTGGGACATTTTGAGTTTGCAGAGTCAAGTGGTAGTGTGGATATACATGGATCTGAAGGTCAGGATAGCAGTCCAGGTTGGACACAAAGAGTTAGGATTCCTCAGTATACAGATGGTAAACAAAAGCACAGCCCAGAAGGAATAACTAAGTAGCATACACAACACCTGTTGTTTGTAAAATATTTCTTTGTCATTAGGATATTATTAAATTAGAATTGTCATGCTATTAAGGTAATAAAGAATAGAATATAGTTTAGAAAGACTTTATTGAAATTAAAAAAAAACTTTATCCTTAAATGTTTGAATTTCAGTTAGCTAGAAAACTGATTTACCTAAAAATCTCATTTCATAGTGATGTGGGAGAAATGAAGTAACATAATCCTTCAGCTTCCTCCCTGTACCTGGGGGTTCCTGAATCCACCCATTTCAAAAAACTTCTTGAACATTTCTGTGCCCAGCATTGTGCTGGATAATGCAAAATAGTTTAATACTGTAAAGGAGCCTTACTATTATTTAAGGGGAGATTTGGCAAATATGGCAGAGAGTGTGCATGGTGATTAAGGGTACAAGTTTTGGAGACAGAGAGTTCATATTTGGGATTTCCAATTAGCCAAGTAGCTTCAGACAAGTTGCTTAACCTCTCCAGGATTCAGTTTTTTCCCTGTTAGATGGGGAGAGTAATTATAACTACCTTGCAGGGTTGTTCTAAGGACTGAATGAACCAAAGCATGTAAGGTGCTTAGCATAGTAACAGATATGTAATATGCATTCAATGAGCAATACTCATTGCTCATCGTATTAATATTTTGCCATTCTTTTCTTTCTTTCTTTCTTTTTTGGTGAGGAAGACTGGCCCTGAGCTAACATCTATGCCAATCTTCCTCTATTTTGTATGTGGGACACCACCACAGCATGGCTCGATGAGCGGTGTGTAGGTCTGCACCAGGATCCAAACCTGTGATCCCTGGGCTGCCAAAGTGGAGTGCGTGAACTTAACCACTATGCCATGGGGCCAGCCCCAGCCATTCTTTATTACAGCCTCCTCTAAAGTAAAAGATCATTTTGATAAGTGAAGAATCAATTAGGAGACTGTTAAAATGAATTCTGGCAACTTGTGACCTGAACTGGGACAATGACAGTGGTGATGGAAAGAAGTAAACAGAAGTGGAAAATATTTGGAAAGTAGAATCAATTGGACTTACTGATTGGATAGGAAAAGTGAAGGGAAGAAAAATAACAATTAGTTCTAATTATCTGTCACCCAAACAGGAAACAAAGACAGCAATTAGTTCCAATTATCTGTCCCCTGATGAGAAAACACCAAAAAGGGCTTTGGTGGTAGAAGAAAGCCTGTGCAAATGGTATCTAAGGCACTGCTCGTTGGTATTCCTTAAATAACTTCTCTAAATGTTTTCTGTAGAAAAACAAAAAGAGGGCCCGGCCCGGCAGCATAGTGGTTAAGTTTGCATGCTCCACATCAGCAGCCTGGGGTTCACTGGTTTGGATCCTGGGCACGGACCTATACACCGCTCATCAAGCCATGCTGTGGTGGCATCCCACATAGAACAACTAGAAGCATGCACAACTAGGATATACAACTATGTACTGGGGCTTTTGGGGGGAGAAAAAAAAATGAAGAAGATTGGCAACAGATGTTAGCTCAGGGCCACTCTTCCTCGCCAAAAAGGATACCTTAAAAAAAAAAGAATTACAGTTTACTTTTAAATCTAGCTTTGTTTTGAAGGAGGCATACTTGTTAATATCCTATTTACCGTTAACTAGACAATCTGTGTAAAAGGCAGGAACATGGAACAAATCATACTTGGTGCGCAACGTATGATACCCAGGGAGTCACTACAGAAGAGCAATGTCCTCCACGTTGTTCTTCCACGAGTGGCGCTGTGCTAATCGACTCCTTTGCGTTAGGCCTCCTTTGTAGGCAAAGCAGCATTTCTCCAGCGGCTGGGCAGGGCCGAAGGTCGAGGAAAACTTGAGTTTGCTTCTGTCTGCACACAGCGCTAACAAAATGGTAGCCCTGATAGGCTTCTCAAGTATTTTACCCACCAGCCTGTTGACTTTAACTCTATTAAATGTAAGTTACTTGCCTTGTTTATATCTGTCTCACTAATTGAAAAACACTGATACTTTTTGTTTAGTTCAGATTGATTGAGGTAGTATTTACATCAAGTTCGCTCTTGTTTGGTCAGACATTAAGTCCAATGCCACCTGTTTCCCAGCATGCAAGGAGAGCACGAAAACCGCTCTGTCAGCTCTCCTTTCCCGACACCTTCCTCTCCAGAGGGGTTTTTAACCTGAGGTGGAAAATACCTGCTGTATTTTAAATCTCTCCTATTGTTCTAAAAGGATCGGTTTCTCCCCTTTGGACTACCTGCTCCTCTAGGGCACCAGAGAAGCCCCAGGGCCTGATACAATGCCTGGCACATTGAGTTGTGAAATGAGAAACAAAACAGTCATTTACCTTT